GTAAACAGATTAATGAAAGTACAATATGTGATGAACTTTTTACGATTAGCAGGGGAAGATGTTATTCCTCCTATTGTGAAACATATGCAAGCTATGTCAACAGGAATGTCAACATATAAAGAGCAACTTAAAGTGTTAGTGAAAAACAAGCAAGGAAAACGGGAAGAACCGTTCCAAGTAGTAACATGGGGAAGAGGCTACGCTTGTGTCATTGCAGATAGTGGACCTACGTGAGTCCCGGCAGAATGGGTAAAACCGGCGGTAGAACAGGGAATGTTGTTGGATGGATCATCTTTGGAGCAGTGATCATCACGACAACGGCAGCAGGACCATGGACCATCCAAACAAAGCAAAACTTATGGGTGCCTTTTGCAAATCTAATAGGGCAAGACTCATTGTGTTTGTCATCAGCCACACCTGGAGATCCATTTAGAACATGTCTTATTGGAAAGGCAGTGAATGATTTTAGAGATCTTATGGAGTATGTGACTGTCACTGGCATTTTAAGAACTTAGAGGTAGATAATTGGGGTGAAGCAACGACAGTATTGGTAGCTATGTCTTCTCCACATGTAGGTGTAGGTAAAGCTTTAGGTAGTATGGATAGGTTGTCATGTTGGGTGGCAAAGTAAGTGAATTTAATGTCAGCTTTAATATCAGAATTAGCAATAGATGTAAATTTAGTGAGGCACGCAATGTTTCACAATAGAGCAGTCATAGATTTCTTATTGTTAGCTCGGGGACATGGAGGTGAGGATTTTGAAGGAATTATGATTTTGATTGTTGTTATGGTACTGCCTTGTTTCTTGCAGTGTGTTCAGAGAACGATTCAACGACAATATCAACAACTACGTGCCTTGGTCATTGAAAACAAAAAAGGGGGAATTGTGGGAACATACTATATTAACGAAGGTCATGATGTCCTTGAGAGTTTCTGAACAAGACTAAAATAAGGACTTTATCGCTTGCAACAGAGGACTTTGGCAGAACGCCCGGAGCAAACGAAGGAGAAATGATTGGCTAAGCCAGCCAATTGAATGTTTAGAATAGGCACGTGAACAATGTATGTTAACCAATAAGCATTGGGGTTGGAGTGCGTGGACAGCTTTGCAAGTCAGCTTTCTGATAAATATAGGGTCTTCAATTTGGATATCAGAGTCCGTGTCGTCAGTCTCCTCAGGTAACAGCAGCAATGACTACAAAGAAATTTATTGTTGGCACAATTAGTGGGGAAAGCCATGCAAGAGGACCCAAGATCTGCCTAACCTTAACTGAACCAATATAGGTTTTAGCACCAGAGCCTCATACGTTCAAGGATGACTTAGAAGTTATTAAAAAACTTCAGCGGTTGATGCTTGCTCACAGTTAACTTGATTTTTGCCTCCATTGGCTAAAACAGGCATTTAGATGGCTATATGTAGACACAAAATTCAGGAGTCTTAATATGGAGCTGAATTCCACCCTATGTGTATCATCTCAGGAATTGCCAGATTGGAGGTTGGTAGCTCCTCCAGAGATGGAGGACACTAGGCCAAACATGTTCACATTTGGCCTTCTGCCTCTTTCTCCAGAGACAGCTGTTTCCTACCACATGGTTATAGTTGTGGCCTGAGTAGTACTCTGGTATCTCCAACAGGGAGAGACACGCACTGAGCTAAGCTTGGGCCCAGTCTAGGCAGCTGAACGTCTGCACAACTGCTCTTATGACCCGTTTGCACAATCCTGTTAACATATGTGATTTAAGGTATGTCAAACTGCCACCCTCGGGCTCTATATTCCTTGGGGAAATTACCATACAATATCTAGCACAAGCAGGGTCATGGGCTACTATTATGAGGCAGAAATGCCGCAAGACAAAATTAAATACTTCATTAGTACTTCAGACCCAAACCCAAACTCTAGATCACATAATTATTCTACCCCACCACCATGTTTCAGGGCACACTGCACCCAAACCTAACTTTATTTACATTATCCTATCTCCTCGGCTAACTTACTCCAAAAGTAACCTCCCTTTTGATGTGTGCCTGACAAACTAATCATTCTTTCCTGCACCAAGACACTGCACATCTGTTAGGGCAGTGATTACAATGAGGTACACCAAGAACATCACAAGATGGGGTCTTTTCATCTTAGAAGTCTGCAGACCTTTCCTCTTCTCATTGCTTTTAGCTGTTGAAAGTTGGTAGTTTAAGAAAAACAACTCTAGGAAAAAATATTTTGAATCACATAAAGTTTATTTACTTAGTAAAGTTATATTACAATATATACAGTTTCTATTTACATACACACCTTTCTAAGAAATGAAGCACCTTATGATACAGTTCATGCTTTAGAGGAATTTACAGAAATTTTATTTTTGCATCCAAATAGTTGTACCTACAGACACATTGGTTAGAACCAAGTCCTCCTAAGATGCTGATTTCAATGGGTTTTGGATTAGTCTGCTAGTGAAGTTACCAAAGAGAAATTTAATTGCTGTCAGCTATCCATCTGCTATGCTTCAGGATATGAGATCTTACTTATGCCATTTCTGGGGCTACGTGCAAACTTAATCCTCACAGAAAGTCGGAGGTACAGACAGCAGGTATTTTATATGACACAAGAATGCAACACTTTCATCAGTAAGATTTTTACTGTCATCAGAAACAGAGTTTTATTAGAATGGAAAAAGAACACTGCTTAAGTGTTTATATGCCTTATGCAAAGTGAAGTTAAGAACCTGGAAGCTTATGTGATATGGTATCATGCATTCCCCAAGGAATCCATTTATTCTTAAAGAGCTTGTGGCATGATCCCCTTAACTCAAGGAGAAAGTCTAGCTGTTCGCTTTGCAATCTTTATGCCACCGTCAAGAAAAAAAGAAGGCTCTGTCCTAGGCACAAAATTTCCTTCAAGTGAATATAAGACATTTGGAGTGGGAAAATGTAAAATGAGGTATTTAATAAACTACAGGAAAAAAAGAAGCGCCTAGACTGTTCTGAAAAACATGGTAGATATTTTACATATACATTTGTTACATTCACCTGATTGTGGGTCAAGTTTTGTATAAACTATTTATACCTTTTGTGCTACCTAATTTATGCTTTTCATATTTTTGCTTCACTAGACGTCGGATCTAATGGCTGGAAGAAAGCATTGTTACTCTGAGGACAGTTATTATGACAGACACAGGTGTTGATCAACATCATTGGCTTTTTTAGGACTTTGCCCTGAGGGCAGCGGAACTCAACCTGGATGGTTTTGGTGTTGTGTGGGGTACAGCATCGGCCGTCACTGCAGAGCCCACAGTAACGAGGTTTGTATGTCTGCACACTGCTGCAGTTCTTGTATTCAAAGCGAACCGCTTTCAGGGACTTCTTTGTTCGGATACATTTCTTCCCTTTCTAAGAGAAAAACGAACAGCTGTTAGATGTATTATTGCATATGACAGAAAGCAATTAAAAATTGACATGCAAGACTATAGGTCTACTCTGAAAACGTAAATTTGTCATCTTTGCCTGTTCTACACCAGTAAAATTCTGCAGCTGGTTCAATAGTTACTTACCGGTAACTCCTTCAAGATCTGCTTTTTCACACCAGCGTGTTATTAGGCCAGTGACAAATGACAAATAATTAAAGTCCATTCTTGTCACCTGAGACAAGCCAAACCAACATTCACCATGAAACTATACTCTGCTGGGAAACTTCTCAGGCTAATGCAGTTCCATCAGAGAATCAGGAAATCAAACAAACAAGTTACAGGACAAGACTCAGCAAAAAAAAACCAGAGGGCTAAAACGAACCTCAAAAGTCACTGCTCCTTCTTGAGCTCCAAGGCTTTATCCATGTTATTCTTAACGGTTTTCTAATTTGTCCTTGGGAGTGTTTGGTGACAGAGACTCCACATCTGCCCCAGACAGTCCTAACGATTCACTGTTACTGCTTGGAAGGTTTTCACTCACGTCTTCATTTTTATGCAGCCTAAACTCACCACTTCTTGTTGTATCCTCCATGGACTCCGAACGGGCTGCAATTTCTGAACACACTTATGAGAACACATCTCCATTCTCTTGCGTTTGGAGTAAGTTCAGTTCAGTCAATTTTTCCCTAGCAGAACATGCTTTCTAGACCTCTGCTCATTCTTGTAAGTCTCCCCAACTCTTCCTAAATGTTTCATATCCTTTTCAAAACACAGCATTTAAAAGTGCACAGAGTATTCAGCAAAGGCCTTAACAATGGTTTCCAACACTCAGAACATTACAGAAAGTGATGGTCCTCTCACCTAGCTATGTTCTTCTCCCTGACAGTAACACTTGTATAATGTGTAGAAGCAGCAAAAATGTCATCTCCCTTAGACACACATTTATTGCACCTGAAGTGTCAGTGCTGGATCTGCTTTTGGAAAAAGCATCGTAAGGATTAAGAAAAGGTTTAATTTACTCAAGCAGATTTTGCAGGATTTCACACATTTCTCTGCAGTTCCAGATGCTCAACAGACCAGAAATCTGACATATCCATTCTGTACGATTGGAGGAGCTCTGAAGTATACATACAGGTAGTACAACTGCATTTGTGTGAGAAGTTAAGACTGCATGAGCTGTCAAAATAGTCTGCACGTGGAATACATCTGATCAGTTTGGAATGGCTCAAATCATCATAGAATCATGGAATATTAGAATGGTTTGCGTTGGAAGAGACCTTCAAATTTCATGTAGTCCAACCTCCCTACAATGAGCAGGGACATCTTCAACTCAGTCCGGTTGCTCAGAGCTCTGTCCAACTTAACCTTGAATGTTTCCAGGGATGGGGCATCTACCACCTCTCTGGGCACCCTGGCCCAGTGTTTCATCACCCTCATCGTAAAAAATTTCTGCCTTATTTCTTGGGGAAGAGTGGTTGGAAAGCTGTCCAGCAGAAAAGAACCTTGGAGTGCTGGTCAACAGCCAAACGTGAGCCAGCATTGTGCCCAGGTGGCCAAGAAGACCAACAGCATCCTGGCTTCTAGTAGGAATAGTGTGGCCAGCAGGAGTAGGGAGGTGATCGTGCCCCTGTACTCGGCACTGGTGAGGCTGCACCTTGAGTATTGTGTTCGGTTTTGGGCCCCTCACTACAAGAAGGACATTGAGGTGCTGGAGGGTGTCCAGAGAAGGGCAACGAGGCTGGTGAAGGATCTAGAGATCAAGTCTTACGTAGCAGCTTAGGAGCAGCTGAGGGAGCTGGGGCTGTTTAGTCTGGAGAAGAGGAGGCTGAAGGGAGACCTTATTGCTTTCTACAACTACCTGCAAGGAGGTTGTAGTGAGGCGGGTGTTGGTCTCTTCTCCCAAGTAACTAGTGATAGGATGAGAGGCAATGGCCTCAAGTTGCGTCAGGGGAGTTTCAGATTGGCTGTTAGGAAAAATTTCTTTACTGAAAGAGTGGTCAGGCATTGGAACAGGCTGCCCAGGGAGGTGGTTGAGTCACCACCCCTGGAAGGGTTCAAAAAAAGTGTAGATGTGGCACTTCAGGACATGGTTTAGCAGGCATGCTGGTGTTGGGTTGATGGCTGGACTTCATGATCTTGGAGGTCTTTTCCAACCTTGATGATTCTGATTCTGTGAGTCCTTGTCCTATCAATACAGGCCCTGCTAAAAAGTCCATCCGCGCCCATCTTTCTTATCTGCCCCCTTCAAGTGCTGGAAGGCTGCAGTAAGGTCTCCTCAGAGCCTTGTTTTCTCCAAGCTGAACAGCCCTAATTCTCTCAGCCTTTCCTCACAGCAGAGGTGCTCCAGCCCCCTGACCATTTTTGTGTCCCTCCTCCAGATACATTCCAACAGGTCCATGTCTTTCCTGTGCTGAAGGCTCCAGAGCTGGACACAGGACTCCAGGTGGGGTCTCACCAGAGTGAAGCATCATCTCCCTCAACCTGCTGGAGGTGCAGCACAAAGTTGCTGAGCAAACATGACAAGTCTAATGCTTTCCAAAAACACCAGGCTTGCTGCACCTACACTAAAAGGTGTATTTACATACACTTGCATCTGGAGTACTCCAGAACATAATATTGTAACCTCGGAATTACAGCTGGAGAAACCCTGCTCCCGTGCCACTCCCTGTAGCATACCTTATCAGATGATTCTTCATTTTCACAAGGTCTTATCATGCAAAGCCGCGTCTGCTTCACCATCTCACACCGTTGATTTCTGTTGGTAACACGGGTGGAAAAGCCCATTCCACAGCTTCTGGAACAAGCACTCCATTCTGTTGTCTGCTCAATACAATTGGCACTTGAATCCGACACATCGATCCCGAGCGTGGCCTCTTGTCTGTAGGCTGGAGACAAAACCCCACCGAACATTATCACAAGAAAAACTCAGGTGAAAACCCAGTCCTAACTGAACTCTACCACATCTGGGAAGAAGCACATGAGACAAAAAAAGGTCCAAATCCACACTTTTGACAGGATTTGGGAAGTTTAAAAGCTGCCTTTTTAGGAGCTCTGTATGGCAACTCCGTACATCTAAAAATAACAGAAAGGTGTGTATCAGTGTAATCAGCAAAGCATTTAGATTCAGTTCATTCAAGTCCGCAGCTGGAAGAATTATTGCCAATTTTTTAACCAGTTTAGAACTCTAATAACTCCTTGCTCCTCATTCTTTTCAATAGAAATACATCACAAATCTGTTCTAAGGCTACGTCATAAAAAATATTTACATTAGATATGATTTGAGAGAGGCTGAATGATTTATCTAAACTCATAAACAGCATGGAAGTAAAGTCCTTTACACAGAGAGTCATAAAGTCACCTGCTCTTGTCAATTATTGACAGATTATAGCCAGGGTGATGGTGGGGAGGGAGGGAGGGAGAGAGGGAGGGAGCGAGGAAGTAATTTCCAGGAGTTATCCCAGCTACTCAAAGCCGCAGCCAACTCTGATCATCATCCTGCCCTCATGGCAGTGTTAAGATGGATTATGCAAATATTGCTAACTGTACAGTCTGGCTCAGCCATTATCACAGGAGTAAACAGAATGAGGCACCACGACTGAGCCGTCCGTCACAGCTCTTGCTCTTCAGCTCCTCTACAACAGCATTTTTGCCTTTTTCGTGGTAAAGCTCCAGAAAGGTGGCCTCCCAAGAGGGATGGCCATTGCTAGAAAGAATGCAGATAATCCATCCACAGGCATTTTATGGATTAGCCTTCACTGTCGAACAAATCAAAGAAAAGGAAAAACAGTAGAAAGGTGTCAAGCTTTTTGCTTGTATCTTACTTGCCTTACAACTGACACTTCATAGCACTTCAAGAAGTTATTAGAGCTTTTCTCCCTGGATCCTTCCTTACTTGTTTTTCAAACGGATTAGCTGAGTTTCAGCATAACTAACTGCTTAAGACCACAAAGAGCAGTGACTGGAAGAGAACGCAGTGCCCTCAGCTCTCAGTAGAAGTCGCTTGTGAAAATTCACGTTGAACTAATAGTCTAATTTAAAGGGGATGCAGACATAATCCAATAAGAAAACAAGAAAATGGGGGGGGGGGGGGGGGGGGAGCAAACAGGAGCAAAATATTATGCACTTTATGAGTTCTGTGTTTTGGAATGGGATTTTTTTCAGATCCACTGACTGTGTTTATAACCACTGCTCCTCCAAGCACTTTGTAATGCTTTTGATGCCAACAAAAATGATGAGAGCTCTAGCACAAACAGGCAGGAATCTGTCAGCATTTTAGCTACCATGCTGACCACTTGCAATAGCTGGGGAATTTAAGTGGAAAAAAAAGCCTCTTGCAGACAAAGCTGTCAGCATGCTATTTATGATGTAACATATCCTTGCAGAGCAACTAGTGAGACTGGAACTTTGATTTTGGGGGGGGAATGGAGGATTATGAGCTTGCCCCTGGCCTATTCCACTCACAGAACTACGCTGTACCAGATAAACAGCAATTTCAGAACTGGAAGCTAACTCCAGTTAACTACCTTTTAAAACTGCTATGCGCATTCATCTTCCGAATATCTTTCTTTCACCTATCGAGCTCTGCCTTTATTCTTAACCACTGGTATACTTACTGGTGACTCTAGGGGAGAAAAAAGACCAGAAAAAAACGACCAGGGAAAGCAACGTGTCTCAGATTTGGCAGCCCCACAGGTATTTCCAGTATGATATCACCTCCTCCTCCTCACAACGCCTGAGATAATGAATTTTCGATTCCTCACCGGCCATAGCGAAACCTCCCAAAATCACTTCGTCTTTCGGGTCACAGATCCACTTCTCACAGCACTCTCCAGGGACTTCGATCTTCCTGGGGAAGGGGCAGTCGGGCCCGGGGAGTAGCAGGTCCAGGTTGCAGCGGGGCAGGCAGCCGATCTGCCCGTCTCGGCAGG